GTCCTACGGAAACATGGTGTGTCTATCCTTTCTCCCCGAGGCATGTGGTGGGCAGTCAGTACAAATAACATGTTTCTGTGATGGTTTGTTCAACAGGATCGCATGTGATTCATGTGCACTCTTTTCGGATCCTAGCCGTCGAAGAATTAAGGTCTACTCAAATCATTTTGAGGCAACCACTACTCCAAGGAACAACCTGCATGCATGCATCATATTCGAACTCAACATAGTCTGCTCTCACGTATAAGACACCCTTTACTCAAATCCATTCATATATCCATACGAAGCTATGCACGCCGCCATCGTTTCCTTATCAGCGATAATGTGCCAAGGTGTCATGGCGAGAGCGTTGCGATAAGGACGGCCACATGACAAGCGAAGAATGGAAAGAGAGAATTGAAGCTATAAGGAAAATTCATTGTCCACTTATTTATATGGCGAGCCCACCGGAGACAGATTCATATGACAATGGACGAGCATTGTCAGCATCATCTAAACCAAGTTGCGTGAGTGCCTCTGCGTTTAATTGATCATCCAGATTTTTTAAGACCGGGTTTACGTGCTACCAAAGTGACTGGTGTCATCAAAGGTCCATCATAGGCACGCACGGTGACGTAAGTGGTTGGACCAGGCAGGAGACGCTGACAGACACGATGGCCAATTTTATGTGTGGCGCTGGTGATAGAACGTCCACTGTCTAGTTATAGCGGTGCACCAGAAGACAAGAATGAAAGCGACAACAACTAACCTTGGGTGGATTCCCAATGTAGCGGTCATGAGGGCATGGCCAACGCTCCAACTTGGAGTGCTTCCCCATCAGAAAAGTTGCTGATGTGGAGGAGGTAGGGGAAAAGGTAGTGCTTGCAGGGCCAAACGACCTCTTGCAGAGGAGTCGGGTGACTCATCCAAAAATGTGAAAGAAAACAACAGAGAGGAACGGATAGTGAGAGAGATGACGCATGTGTAGATGAAAAAGTAAAAGAGAGAACAAGGAAAATGACGAAGGTGTGGTTTGATCAAGCTCTATTTGCTTTGGGGAGAGAAAATTTATACGGTGGTCTCAACCTACCTGGCAAATGGGGCAGCTACATGGTGTTGCCCCCATTGTACATGCTCTGATGTCCTTCGGAAAGCGCCCATTAAAAAGTAAGAAGTGAGGTCCAAAAGCCTATGTGCGCTGGTGATAGAACGTCCACCGCTTGGTTATAGCGGTGCACCAGAAGATAAGAATGAAACGCTAGTAGCAGTTAAATCTTGTGTGGGTTCCCAATGTCGCAATCATGATGTCCTTTGGCAAGCTCCCATCGAAAAGGATCAAGCGAGCTCTAAAAGCCTAGGCAATACATTCAATTGGTGAAAGGCAACCCAGCGGTTATGACCAACATCCTGACCAAGGCCGGCTAGTGTTCCTAGCCGAGGTCGTCTCCATTCGATGCTCGACAAGGCCCAACATGACCCAACAAATTTGTACTCCCTCCATAAAGAAATATAAGATCGTTTAGATCACTAGTTTAGTGATCCAAACGATCTTATATTTCTTTATATGAAAATCTTAGATACCTAGTTCAGTTTAGGGGAAGCTATTCCCACAATAAAAATACTAGAATTTCATAAGATGGGGCCGGGCCTTTTCTTATTCCAACCAAATCACCCCAAGTCAACTCAACCGTACGTTATTTGCAATATGCCCGTAGGTGCAGTAGAATGGGCAATGCTATACCTACGTAAGGTTTGTTATGTGTTTTACGTAAACAACATCGTGAAGAAATATTATGAAATCGGTAGGGTGGAAGGGGCCCATCCCCGTTAAAATCAGGGGGCTGATAGGTTTATAGTTTGAAAAAAATGTACGCCTTTGTAGCCACTTCGTAGGTGTAGGATTATTATAGTAAAACTCTCCCCACAAACCGCTCGAAGAGATTATTCCCTATCTTTGTAAAAGGAGCGCTCAAGAATAGTATTAGGCTCATCTACTCCTCATTCATCGCCTGGTGATCGGCCAACAACGACCGAGACTCAGCAAACTAAAAGATAGGTCGCACAAAGAAGAGCGGCACGGCAAGGCCCGCATTTGCTTTTAGTAATCTCTAAGATTTTCCAAGGCAATATCCACATGTTAACCTGTGCGGGCGAACCATGATCTACAAACTCCTCACTCCCAAGCCAAATGCATGAGCAACCAGATTACTGAACAAAGGATAGCATCCAAAACAGAGCAGGCCTTTGGCTCCCCAGCTCGTATAAACCTAGTTGAACAGTAAATATGAAAATAGTATTAAAATGAGACCTTTTTAGAACAAGCTTGCTAATTTTTTTTGAAAATGAGACTTTTTTAGAACAAGCATGCTTGTGTGTCCTAACTATGTACACATTTACCAGATCTCATACAAGCTCTTTCCTCTTTCCCCTCTCCTCCCGAGCCGCTTGCGGGGCCGGCATTGGAGGGGTAAACTCTAGCCACTCAGGACCCTCCTCCCATGCTCCTCATGCCGTCGCCGATAATGCCGGTTGGGTTGTGCAAAGGGCCAGGGGCATTCGGCCAGGTGAATGACCATCGAGGTTGGCTGTTGTGCGGTCATGTGGTGTAATGCGCTTCGACAGTGCGGCAGGGAATGGCTACTACATGTGAGTTGTTGGTGGCGGCGCTGACTGGATCTGCATCCATCTGGGGCAAATCTAAGTCACGGGGTTGTGGTCACTGCAAGGTTGTCTGCCTGGAAAGGTGTGACCAGCTGATGCTTGCGATGTCGGCGGCCTTAGCGTGCTCGTGTTGGGAATTTGGGCTGGAGTTGCTAATTCTTGGTCGTGCCGAAGATGGAGTTGGAATGCATTTCCTCCGCCATGCAAGGTGTTGGTGCTTCGCCATGCTATGGCCACTATGACGAGGTCTTGCGGCGGCGGCTGTGTGACTCTACATGCACAATATAGAAATCATTTGATTAGCTTGGGTGTAGATTTTCAACTACACGTGTTATTCGCAACAAGTTATATTTTTTATACTTGTCTTTTGCCTTCTATTAAAATACGATACGCCTAGGCATACTCTAAAGAAATTGCTTGCGGTGTCGGTGGCCTTAGCGTGCTGGTGTTGGGAATCTGGGCTGGAGTTGCTAGTTCTTGGTCGTGCCGAAGATGAAGTTGGAATGCATTTCCTCCGCCGTGCAGGGTGTTGGTGCTTCGCCGTGCTATGGCCACGATGACGAGGTGTTGCGGGGCAGCTGTGTGATCTACATGCACAATATGGAAATCATTTGATTAGCTTGGTTGTAGATTTTCAACTACAAATTGTATTTTTTTTTTAATACTTGTCTTGTGCCTTCTATTAAAATACGATACTTCTGCCTTCTATTAAAATATGAAACGCCTATGCGTACTCTAAAGAAAACTATATACACATTTTAATGAAGAAATGATATTCAGGGTGTTGTACGAAAAAGACAAAATCAGTGATCCATCGATTCATCTGGGTGCATATGAAATTAAGCTACATTTTTTTAAGCCGGCCCCAAGGGTCTAGAATTCATCAGGCAAGAAGAGAGTTGTCCGACTAATTAACAACAAACAGGGCAAATCTGTCACATCGTGCCTGCAAGAAAAGGCATACGGGGCAACCTGGCAACCCATACAAGAATGCACACACGTCGTCGAGGAGAAAAACGTCAGTGAGGTTGCATTCCGGTGTCATCGTTATCACTCCTTCGCGAGGGCGACTCCAACTCCTTCATCAATGACCACCGATGTAGCCCCCACCTCAAACAAGCACAAACGCCTGAGCGGCCGATGCCGAACAGTCAATCACACGCGTCGGCGACCAGACAACTCCAACTCCGTCGACGAGCATTGCAGAGGAAAAGCGTTGAGCCTACGCCGAGCCGGCACAGGTACCGACCACCCGTCTCATGTTATCATCACCGTGGGGCACCTCCTTTGTAGCTCCGATTTCAGGAAGACGAGTGAGGCACGACGACCCCTGGCATCTGACGAGACCGACTACCAAAGCTTGGTTGTAGGCCAATTCCGCACCGCAGGGCACCTCCTTTGCCACACAAGTCACACAACATCCACATTGTCGGACAAACACCCGTCAGCCACAATGCCCCAAGCGTCCAGCCATGAAGCGCACAAACGGGTCCAGTGCTTTTCAAGGTATGAAAGCGACGACACCAATGCCGTAGCCTAAGCGTGACCAGCATGCCGCTCTAGCGGCCGTAGCAGCTGCCGTCACCACTCACCACGAAGAACGAGGCCACCTCCCCGGGACCCTAAGCTACAGCCAGAGGTCCCCCATCCCGCCAGCAGCGATGGGAGGGGAGCAGGGGTGGCTGGCCTGGCGACACTAGGTTTTGGGGCCCCTGGTCGCCTCGGAAGAGAATGACACGAGCGAGAGGTGGAGGAGGTTTCTACTTAGCTTTTTTTATTTTTGAGAAACGTCTCTATTTTACTACTCCCTTCATTCCTTTTTAGTCTGCATATAAGATTTGGTCAAAGTCAAACTTTATAAAGTTTGATCAACTTTATAAAAAAAATATCAACATCTACAATACTAGACTAGAGCTATATGGTATGAAAATTAATTTCATGATGCATCTAACAATATTGATTTCATATTATAAATCTTGATATATATTTTTATAAACTTAGTCAAAGTTAACAAAGTTTGACTTTGATCAAACCTTATATGCAGACTAAAAGAAACAGAGGGAGTATGTTAGAGATTTTTATCTTGCTCCATTTTGAATATCCGGGTCACAAAGCATTACGTGAAACATGATGAGTCCAAATACAGAACTACCATAAACTGCATACAATTCCAGTTCATCACAAAAGCACCCAAAAGAGAACCACGAGAGGTGCAGATAAATAATTGGTACCTACACAACCTCTAGTTGCATAAGCGGAAGTCACAAATACAAGAACAAAGATCAAACCAGGGGAAATATCACATTAATTTACTGGCAGAGATTGGTCTAGATATTACAACGGGGATACTTTGCAAGTGCCTACTTCTGCGAGTCGGAGGATTCCTCCTCTTTTTTTGTCTGCGAGTCAGAGGGTTCCTCCTCAAGTGCCTTCTGGATGTCTTTCTGCAAATTTAAGACCAATGCGTAAGAAAAATACTGCATGATGAGAGAGAGAGAGAGAGAGAGAGAGAGAGAGAGGAGAGAGACCTCGAATGAAAATGGTGTGGTAGCAGTTGCGTATCTGTTGATTACTTTTCCATTCTTGTCAACAAGAAACTTGGTAAAGTTCCACTTGATTCTTGAACCAAACAAACCAGGTTTGTTAGCTTTCAGAAACTTGTAAAGCGGCGCAGCATCTGGGCCATTTACACGCACCTGCAATTTTCAAGTACAAGATTGACCCAGCTTTACAGATAAACAACAGTCCTGTAATTTGTAATTTGTACTCATGTTTATGTGATGGCCATCAACAGTAGGCCATACCAAGAAACTCTGACCCCGCCTAATGTATCCAAACTGAAATTGTTGCAAAGAAAAGAAAGTGTATATTTGTATGGAATCAACAAAACAGGGCGTGTTTGGTAACCCGCATAGAGGCCAACCAGGTCCGGGCAGGAAGAACGTAGGTTGTTGCCTGCGTTCACTATTAGGCCTACATTGCATGAAACTCAAAGCAGCTCCAAGCCAGGCCGCTAGGAACCCCACCTAATGTATCCAAACTGAAATTGTTGCAAAGAAAAGAAAGTGTATACTTGTATGGAAGCAACAAAACAGGGCGTGTTTGGTAACCCGCGTAGAGGCCAACCAGGTCCGCACACGAAGAACATAGGTTGTTGCCTGCATTCACTATTGGGCCTACATTGCATGAAACTCAAAGCAGCTCCAAGCCAGGCCGCTAGCAACTGCCGAATCGGCAGTTTCTAACCAGCCAGGCTGAGTTGAGCCACATCGAGCACATGATGGGCCCAACGGTGCACATGGTGGGCTCCCAGCGAGGCCGCTAGGAACTGCCGAATCGGCAGTTTCCAACCAGCCAGGCGCAGCAAACTAGTTGCTTCCGTCGTCACCACCACCATCCACCACAGTCGCCATGGCACTCTGTAACTCTGTGTGTTATGTGTAGTTGTTAACTCTTAATCATATCCCATGTATAGAACCAAACACCGTGTAGTTACATGTGGCGAGCCAGTCCAGGACACCAAACGCCATGCCAAAATTGATCCCCTAATACAGGAAGCATAGAAGCCTAGATGCGGGCAACCAAACGATGTGCAGATAATGTTTTTTTGCCTGTTTTTGCTCAGCCAGGCTTAACTAGGCCAAGCATGCAATGCAGGCAAATTCGCAGATGAGAACCAAACACACCCACAGTGCATATGTTAGAGTACATAATGGGTCTAATGGGCCTGGGCTGGCGGTATAGCCCGTTAGTCTTAGGGTTAATTAAAGATAAGGGCCGCTTGCTTAGGAGTCAAGTAAAGCTCTCTATATAAGGAGAGGAGATGTATCAATCTAATCAAGCAAGAATTAAGAAGGAAATCCTCTCCCCCTTGCCCGGCCATGGGCCCTCTCGCGCCCTCCTTCTAGCAGTGCCATAACAATTTGGTATCAGCTTTTCTGGATTCGATCATGTCCAGCCCTCCACCGAGTTCTTCCCACCCGCCGCCGCCGCACACCTACCCGCCGCCACCAGCGTCTTCATCAGCGCTGCTGCCCCACACAGCAGGCACGCCTGCATTGGGCATGCTGGCGTCCTCAGGGGCGATTGCACCCTCTGCCCCAGCGCCATCCGCCCTCGTTCTCACCCCGGAGCAGATGACAGCCGCAATCCTGGAATTACGGCAGGCCGTGACGGGCATCAGGGCCTTCCTCGTCGGGCCCTATGCGCCCCAGCCACCTCCTCCGCCGCCACACCAACAGCAGCTACCCCCGCTGCCGCCGCCCTCGGACGCGACCACGGCGCCGGTCATCCCGTACCAGTATGGAATGCCCTACGACGGGACTGTGACGACCTCGTTCCCATCAGCGTCGCCGCCGTCCCAGGGCGTCCCCATCCAGCAGATCAAGTTCCCGCCGTCACCGTCACCGCTTCCGGCTTGGATCGCTACCCGCCACGTGTCGATGGCGGTGAGGCTGCAGGCTGCTGCGCGCGGCCTCCTAGCGCATTGGCCTGTGCGGGAGATGTGTGGTCTGCAGTTGCCGCTCCTCCCCCAGTTGCGCTTCGCTGTGCAAAGGATCTCGATCTCGTCCGCTGCGTCGGGGATCTTGGGCATGCGGTTTTCCCCATGGGCAGCGGGCATGCTGTTTTCCCCACGAACAGCGACCTCAAAGTCTGCGACATCGACGGTTGGGGGGCACACCCCTTCTCGCCATTCTCCATCACAAGCCCTCCACTCTTCTCTGTACGGTGCAAACCAACAGCCGTCCGGCAGGGAGAAGGCATGATGTCACCGACAGGAGCGCACCGCGTAGCACCACTGCATTCCGCCACCGACCGCCGCGAGGGCGCCTCTGTTGGTCGCTCTTGCGACCACTTCCAGGTGGCCATACACATGCACTCCTTTTGTCCTGATGGTGTCCATGGGATCCAGGTGGCTATACTCGTGCACGTCCGACGTGCGGATGGTGTCCACTTTATGTTCAGGAGTCTAAAATAAAGTGTCCCAGTCCATTTTGGGTTGAGAGTAATAAAACAAGCCGAGATATAAAAGGCTTGTTTTTTAGGTGTTAGGTTTGTGTTGCATCAAGTCATGGTTATAAGTTGCAGCTCGAGGACAAGCTGCATGTCCAGGTGGGGTGTAGTGTTAGAGTACGTAATGGGCCTAATGGGCCTGGGCTGGCGGTATAGCCCGTTAGTCTTAGGGGTAATTAGAGATAAGGGTCGCTTGCTTAGGAGTCAAGTAAACCTCTCTATATAAGGGGAGGAGATGTATCAATCTAATCAAGCAAGAATTAAGAAGGAAATCCTCTCCCTCTTGCCCGGCCGTGGGCAAAAAGGCCCCCGGCCGGCCCTCTCGCGCCCTCCTTCTAGCAGCGCCATAACAGCATATCTATGTTGACATTTGTTTCTACCATGTAAACTTGTCAAACTTGCGATATGTTTTAAAACATAAGGCATGATATTTTCCCTCCAATGCTTTTTTGATTTTATCGTCTAGAAACCATGATGAACAAGAAATAGCCAATGCTCTAGCTATGAAGAGAAAGTGACTTCAACTAAGCTTCATTAGTGGGAGAATATTAGACGCTTCTTGACAAACAAACAGTTCGGGTATGGTCTTACCTTCTGAAAAACTGGATATTCAGCTTTGAATCTTGTGCATGCAAAGTCTTGGATCTGCTGGTCACTGCCTGGCTCTTGTCGCAAGAACTGGTTGCAGGGGAATGCTAATATCTCAAAGTCTGGCCATTTTAGAAGCAAGAGGAGTAAGTTTTCACCCTAGCTAACATCTAAATCATTATATAATTTAGCATCAAAGAGGCAATCTTACTTGCATACTGATATCATGCATAATAAGATTTTATGACAGTGCATAAATGAGCTTACTACTGTTGAACGCATGATTAACAATCTGTAATTATAATTTTATTCTAATCCAATGTCCATTAAGTTCTAGAAGATTTATTTTTCCATAAAATGTCCACACTTATATCTCACAACAAATGGTTGGCACGCAAATCCTTCAAGGACTGAAGCTAGTACAATGGCAGAAATTCATAATATTTCATAGATAAAAAGATGACAAGTCCCATTAGGCAATGTGCAATGCGCCAATGCCATAGAAAAAAATATGGTTGTTGACCAGTGTTGCGAGGATCTCGTGGAAATATCCATTATTTGCGGATTTAGGTACGGGATTTCACACATTGGAGGTTTAACCTAGGTTCAGGCCCCCTATTCTAGGGGTAACACCCTAATCCAGCTTGGATGTTTTCTCTCTTGTATGAGCCGAGTGATCAAAGAAGATTTGTCTAGCCTGTATACTTGAGTGAACCTATCTATGTCTCGCACCCTTCTCACCTTATATACTACGATGAGAAGGTAGAGATACAAGGGTTGTTAAGAGCCATGATGTAATAACAGCCATAATGGTGGCTGTTACTGGTGGAATTACCACGCCGCCAAAAGAGTATTGAAAGATACAAAGCTTAAGCCAAGAACGGAAGCAGTTGGGCAATGTTCCATGTCCTCTTGATTTCTTCGCCATTCTCGATCAGCCTGTACACGCCATTGTGTAGCACTTGGCTGACAAAGAAGGGTCCCTCCCATGGAGGGAGCTTGTGCATTCCCTCCTTGTTCTGGATCAGCCGGAGAACTAGATCACCCTCGTTGAACGCTCGACCTCGTACTCGGCGGCTCTGATAGTGGCGTGAGTTTTGTTGGTATATGGCCTAGTGAGAGTGAGCGAGTTCTCAGGCATCCTCCAGAAGGTCGACGGCATCTTGGCGCGCAGACTCGGAATCCACCTCCACATACGCCACGACTCGAGGGGAGTCATGAATGATGTCACTCGACATGGCGGCTTCTGCTCCATAGACCATAAAGAGCGTGCAGCTAGTTGATCTGCTTGGAGTTGTCCATAAGCTCCATAGGAAAGGCGGTAGCTCGTCAAGCCAGCAGCTAAGAGTCTCTTTCAAGAGTCTTAGCAGCCGGGGCTTGATACCTTGAAGGATGAGACCGTTGGAGAGCTCCACTTGTCCATTGCACTGGGGGTGCGCTACTGAGACATAATCCAGTCGGAGGCCGTGACGTCGCAAAAGCAGCGAAAAAGGTCTGAAAGTGAAGTTCTTCCCATTGTCGATGATGATGATGTGCGAGATGCCGAACAGATAAATGAGGCCTTTGATAATGCTGACTGTCTGGCCATCTTGCTTGATGATAGGTTTGACTTTGATCCACTTCGTGAACTTGTCCACCGCGGCAAGCAGATGAGTGAATCCACCTTTGACAGTATTGAGCGGGCCCACCATATCAAATCCCCACACGGCATGGCCATGTGATAGGAATGGTTTTGAGGGATGTACCCAGCATGTGTGGCTCACATGCATACCTCTAGCAGTTTTGGCACTTGTAGACGAGATCTTCTGCGTCGGCCAGAGTGGTAAGCCCGAAGAATCCATGCTTAAATCCTTTGGCGACAAGGGCGCGCAATGGCGCATGATGACTGCAGGTTCGAGAGTGAATTTCCTCAAGAATCCATCGCCCTTCTTCTGGAAACCTGCAACGTTGGAAGACTCCAGTGATGTTGCGGTTGTAACGCTCGCCATTGATGATGGTGTATGCCTCGACGTGGGGGATGATTTGCCGAGCTATGTCTCATCAGCCGATAGCTCCCTTTGGATTAAGTAATCCAAGTAGGGCTGTATCCAGGTTGGAATGACGGGGAAGTCGGCCTTAGCGTCTGACTGAATGGGTTCTTGTTCGAGCTCGGCCTTCGTCTTTGTTTTGATGGATGGTTTACATAGTTGCTCCAAAATAACACCAGAAGGAATGGGTTCTATGGTGGAGCAAATCTTCGTGAGTGTATCAGCTGCTTCGTTCTACAACTGACGAACATGATGAAGCTCCAAGCCCTCGAACTTTTTTCGAGCTTGCGACTTCCTCCCGATATACGATCATGGAAGGATTCTTGGCATCACCATCCTTCATGACTTGTTGTACCAGATCTGAATCTCCACTGCAAAGCAGCCGACGGAAGCCAAGTGATACAACGATCCAAGGCTTCTGTCGGCATTCTGGGAACGGGGGTCGGCGTTCTGGGAACGGGGGTCCCCAGACTTGCCTGCCTGTGGCCTGCGGCGTGGCTCAAAGGGGGGCCCAGCGCGGCCCATCTTCACCAACACAAACCCAAGACCCTCGCGAGGGGCCAAGCCTCGCGGGGCGGACGACGCGGAGCTTCCTCAGGCGCGGCCTCGTCAGGCTGGCTCACGAGGAGGCGGAGAGATCAAGGCGGGGTACCTCACGAGGTGCCCGTGACGCAAGCCATGACGACCGGGGGCGCCAGGCGGGTGCCAGCCCGCGCAGTGTCCTCCCTTCCTCTTTGGTGCAAAGGGGGCAAGCGCAGCCGCGGAGTACCAAGGCATCAGGCAAAGGTTGCCGTTTCGGTGCAACGAGACCAAGACCAGGAGGACTACGAGACGGAGGTCACCGTGGAGCCCAAGACGGCGTCATCACCAGAGCTTTGCGCAGGCGAAGACTACTTTTGTTAGGATAGCTGATACTAGCTGTCCCCCTTCAAATTAGCCCGCCATTGTTGGCTCCCTTCCCGCTCGATATTTGGGAAGAGGACCAGGGCCTCTATAAATAGGACCAGCCACCCACAAAGCAAAGGGGGCCGGGGGGGTGAAAGGATAGAGAAGATCAGGTAGAGAGAGAGAGAAGGGTGACTGAGCTCCTCCCAGCAGTTCATCGCCCCAGCCAAGAACAGACCCTTGCGAGGCTGTTCTTCCTTGTATTGTTCATCATCATCAGCCCAAGAGGCAATCCACCACATCACACACTGGAGTAGGGTATTACACCACAACGGTGGCCCGAACCAGTATAAACCTTCCATCTCTTGTGCCGTTCTTTCCTTAGTTTAGATCCTAGCAAGGCGGAGGAGTGCAGGTAGGTAGGAGGCGAAATCTCCGCCGCACCCCAGTGTTCGAACCTCAAGGGTCTGCCGGAACCCGAAATCCGACAGCTTCATACTCCACAACGTTGTTAGATGCAGCAAAGTGAATATGCAGTACATATCTGAGCTTGTCGCCTTCAAGAAAAATAAGGATGACCCCAGCCCCCGAGTCTGTAAGCATCTTGGATCCGCCGAAGTACATGATCCATTGTTCAGACCGCACCTAAAAAGGGACTGGGTTTCCATCCATTCAACCAAGAAATCAACCAAGGGGTGAAAGTTCAATCCCTTTGATGAATTGTTCCAGTAAGTCAAAGACCGTTTCTTCCCCCTCGTCCCCCCCCCCACCCCTCTTCTCCCCTCGCCGCCACCGGGCTTTGCCCGGTAGGTGCTGGCAGCGGCAGGGCCCCATCTCCTCGCGCGAGGGCTCGGCGCGGGCGGCGGCGGCGTGTTCATCCGAGGCGCGGCGGTGCGCGGGCAGGTCTGGCGGCGGTGATGCGGTGCCTCGTCCTGCACGTGGAGGGCCGGACACGGCAGGGGCTGTGGGATCACCCGGAGGCGACATGGGCGACTCCAGTGTTGGATCCGCGAGCAGCAGGTAGGGCGGCGTCCCTTTGCTTGTGCGGCGGCGGCCAGATCCATGGCCGGCATGGTGCTCTTCACCTCGGTGGAGTCTATGCCTGGAGATGGGCATCGGAAGCCGCGAATCTGGCGTCCCGTCCAAATCCGCCACGGCGTGGCAACCGGTGGCGCATGGAGGACCGGTGAGGGGCGGTTGGAGGCTCCATGCCGGCGTGCCGACGGCGGCTTTGGTCTTCACGACGAAAGCTCCGTTCGGTTTCAGTCAGCTGCGAGATCGGGGGGCCGTGATTTCTGGTGAAAATCGCGTCGATTACGGTCATGGCAAACAATGGCGACGTCTATGACATCATTCCCTTCTAGAGGCATCGTTGTTGTAGGTCATGGCGCCCCACCCGTGATGCTCCGGGGGAAACCCTAGATCTGGATCTACCGGATCGAACGATGATGGCAACTTCGATGTCGTTGTCCCTCCTAGGGGCATCGTTTTGGAGCACGTGCTGGCTGGAGGGGACAAGAGGAGGAGCGGTGTTACATCTATCGCAAGGCCGACGGCGGATCCCGGCGACATGGCGCCGCGGAGGTTCGACGATGGGCGCGTTGGAGATGGACTCGCGCAGGAGGATGAAGCTGTCTGGCGTCATGGTGGCGTTGATGGCAGAGGCATGGCAAGGTCGGTGCATCAGTTCTGCTCTGAGGATGGACCGAGGGAAGATGGAGGTGACGGCCCTTGTAGCGTGCGATGTTCACTGGGAGTGTGCCAGACCGGTGTGGGACCCAATCCAGGTAGTGGCTTGGATGGGACACCTAGCTTTAGATGTTAAGCTTTGGTGCGATGTCTGTTTGGTATTAGGCCCGGACATTCGGCACGCCTTCATCAAGGGGATAGGAGTAGCAACGGTGTTGCCAAGATGATGGCTTTAGGCTTATTGATGCATCACCTTGTATGGTCTTTGTGAATAATTAATAATATGGCTGCATGCATCGTCCAGATGCAGAGGCTGGGGGTACATCCTCCTTTTCTAAAAAAAAAAGAAATCAGCCAAGGCCTGAGATTTGATGGCCTTGCATGCCTCATAGTTGATGTCGGCCGCGATCTCAATGGCCCATTTGGCCACTTGACAGTGGCATCTTATTGCCGATGGTTTCTAACAAGGACGCACTATTGACCACCGTGACCGTGTGGGCTTGAAAGTAGTGGAGCAGTTT